ATCATTTTCGAACGAATCCGGTCTCCGGCTGAATACTTCTAAATGCTTTGAATGCATTCATAGTCTTTCCCGATCCGAATACCTTTTAGAACACTGAGTCATCAATTCCTTACCCATCACCGGAACACACCACCAAACACCTAGGATTCACCATAGATAGCAATCTACTGTGATCTTCGCATGTGCCTGCTTGTGTTGGTAGACTGCATCGCTTATCTTTTCAAATACGCAAGCTACGACAATTTTGATTGAGGCATGAAACTGCATGTTCCTTTGTTTATCAATGCATTTTTCCTATCATACTTTATTGTTTGCCCGTTATTTTCCCTGGTCTACTTAGAAAGGACTTCATTACTCCACATCGCTTAATGACAAAGTGATTCAGCGGTTTTGAAACCGGTTCACGAAGATCAAATGAAATAATACGGTTTTTCGGAAATAAAAAGAGTTTCTGTCACTTCAAAAAAATAACTTGGCAAAATTTCACACCTGTTGAGAATTTAAGAATCAGGTGCTCTAGTATTGAAGGGAGTTGTTGGGTGATTTCTCATATCAATTCGCATTTTGGGTTTACTTTGGTTCTTGAGGATCACCTTTAGTTTGATTTTGGCAGCGCGTAGCTTAACCATCAGTCGTTATACCAAACGGAAGTGGCCTTATCGATCGTTTGCTTTTCCGTTCCGATCAGAATGAGACGCTGTGATAGTTTCGGCTACGGCGATTCACGTAAAGTCCAAATACTGGGACATTTAATACAAAAAATACAATCACATTTTAAGTTTGCCTTCGTTCGCTACCGTAACAACGCCAAACCATGCATGTCTTAGTCACTTCACAATGTCGGTATTTTGTGCCATGTTACTGAGACCCTTAGACTCAGTCACGATCTGGACACCGCGGCAACAATCGGATCACAACTCGATCTTCTGTGTCACCATGTTTTCTCGATCTCAGAAGTGCGTAAGCAATACAGGGGACACAAATATGGGGGCTTTCTGCCCGGGTCGTGTGACAAAGTGGGGCTCGCATGCATTTTCTCGACTTTGTACACTGCAGAACAATGCGCGGGTCATGAAGATACGGTGGATGAGTAAACGCACAACGGGTAGTACGTTTGCACACTCGTTCGCCGACCAATCAGAACACCAGTCCAACCAACCAATCGGGGGACTATTCCGAACACATTTGTGAATCGTTTTGACAGTTCTGATACCAAACGAAAAATAGCATTGTTCAATGGAAGTAATGGTTAGGAAAGGTCGGGGACCCGACTGGGTTTCACCAGGAATGTAAACCTCCGGATCCAACTGAGGATCGGACCCGGGACCTGACAGGTAGAATGAAAACCTACCCACTAAATCACCCGGCTACGGATTGGACAGTTACCATTTTCCTAAATACGTGGTATAGCATAAACCCCTTCGTGAGTTCCAAGGTTAGGACTCGGTTGGAAACATTCCAACATGACAGTAGCGGGAAATTTGATTCGAAAATACAGTGGGTTCAGTTCTGTATAGAGCTGGTGCCAGATAAGCGGGCTGTGGTCCTCGCACCAAGTTGGAAAATATGGGTTGTGCTATATCATGTAAAGGCAAAATGAAAAACAGTCTGATCAGCTACCATTTGGTCGAGTGGGTATGTGGTGATTTTGCTACGAGTACGTATGCTCCACGACACAGCTTCCAGGTAACCAATGAGGAAAGGGATTTCACGATCAAACCTGTTAAATCCATCGGACCGGCTGAATGCATGAAAGCAACGAGCAACAAACCATATCATTTTCGATTGGACATCGGAGAATAGACCAAAGATTGTTCGGTGCTTGTGATATTTATTTACATGATTTTCCGAATACAATTAACTACATCTACAGCTCATCTGGCCTCCGTTTGACTTTGTGCTATGCAGTGGGGTTTCGGTCGGAATCGGCGTTTGCACTGTTAGATTCCGCTTATTATTCCGAGTAGTGGTCGGGTAGTATGTGTGCGGTCTACTTGTGTGGTCCCAGGTTCGATTGTTTCGCACTGCTGATGAGATTCAACCAGGTCAAAACAGCTGTCTAGTGCTTCCTAGCTTTTCAGTTTACGCCAAATTCGCTCTACAGAGGACAAAACCCACTGGATAATTGAATAACATCACCAACTGCTCTCGTGTAAAAAGTTCCTTCATATATAAATTCAGATTAATGACCGAATGACCTATAACGTATAATTTTTTTTTAAAATTCAGATTAATTAAGAATAAATTGAATCAAAAAATGAGGGGAACTCTTTGTACATCAATTTGAGGTTTGTTGGGCAGTGCGAACAGCAGACGTTCATACAACCCAAAGACCAGTGAACCTGAAACAGTGCTAAAAGAACGCAGAAGCACCACCAACCGGACCAAATGTGTTGCTGAACAAATCAATTTGCACAGTGATGGTGATTTCCCGTTATTGCAAAAATAGATCACATTTTTTATCGCATGAATACCACTACAACTGTGAGTAACGCAATTCTGATCTCCAGGCACAATTACTCTCAACAAAATCAGGATGACGGAGTGGTTTTAGTCGCAGTCACCCGAGTGGTTTGGACTCTGTGGTTCGAGCAGTGCCACCGCCATCCAACTTTGGTGGTAGGCAGCTTTGCTGTCGCCCGGTTCTATACCACACATGAGCTAGCGGGGCATTATGTGGTTCGCCACTCTAAGCCCTGGGGCTTAGGTTGCCAGTTACCATCACTGAACAGCAGGCCTTTGTGAGTTTGGGGTCCGCCCCGACTGCTGTTTATAACACAATGGTGTGTCATAAAAAATGGTCACGATCTCGTGCAGCTTTACTCGTTCGGGATTGTGAGGACTAATGAAAACCTTTGATATTGCAGCAACATTTTGACGGTTTCGTTTTTTTAATTCGGCATGTCTATAAAGACCCCTGTCAGGCAAACATGGTTTTAGTAATTTTGCATTACTCTCCCAACTAGTGATTCACTCGAACTCGGCACCGTAACTAAGGATGGATTACCTTCTACCTCGAATTTCTTAGGTGACAATTTGGATTCATATGAGAATTTCGAGGCCAGATATAGACGGCAGATTTACCTAATGCGCGTCCCTGTCATCGCATGGAGAGTCAATCTGTGAAGACGTTCGCCATCAAAAATCATACGCAACTGTTAATCTCGCTCTTTCGAAAACTCATGACCGTTTCATCGACAGCTAATTCACTCATTGACCATCTAAAACGGAAATTAACTTTGCACCAGGGTCCTTCAAGTTCACGCTTAAAAAGCAATCTTTTCGACGACCAAGGATAACCCTCAGATTTATCCCACGTAGAACCAACAATCTACGGAAGGATGGAATGCCAAACCACGCCCATAGGGATGTGATGATGAATCATTCTACTGACACTGATGCTCAGTCAGGTTGGAAACATGATAACCACGATTGATCGCTAGGAGTAAGATGGGTCCGATTGCACAAGTACTGCAGATTTATTGCCAAATAGTAACAACGAATAGAATCGATCTGCAACCGGACGGACTGAATAAACTAAGTATATGTGTATCGATTTCTTTCTCACAAACATTCTCGTACCATACACACAGTCTGGGCCCAGACATACGATTTATAGACGAGCGTTGACATCATATATATATATCCCTTGTATTAAGATAACAAATTACATTCAAGTGATTGGCTTTTGCAAATCTTTACCGAAACCTTCGGAATACGAGATTTGTACAATACATTTAGTAATTATGATACTGGATAAGAAATGATCTAGTGCAACCACTCTTGTTTAGTTACCGCCATCGTGATTATCGGATCATTCTATATGCATTACGTGGAAAGGGAATTACAGGTATTCAGAGATCGCACACGTCCTGTGAGCGCTGGTGACGCGCCCCTGGCCCGATTCATCATGTCACGTGAGTGCAAACACTGTTCAGCTTGTAAAGTCTTCTTTCATTAGTCGACTGATAGACCGTGTTAGTCAACGGCCAATACGGCCTACGTGATTTTACAACCACAACCACGCCAATACAGCTGTTTGTGTCCTGATAGGGCAAAAACGACGGATCAACTAGGCAGCGCATTTATGGATTTAATAATACGAGACTGTCACCTTACTGTGTTTTACAGTGTGAGCCCTTTTATTAGCTGTTCGTTAATTGATTCATGATGACATCATCGTTTTTATTTCATTGGCCGATCACCCTGAAACCAGTGTACAAATCGAAGCACATGCGAACAGTAAAAGTAACGCACAACTGGCAGAGATCGAGCGGATGCTTCAGGTATTCAGGATGATAACCCAGTTCCAATTATTGACTGGAGAGAGAACGTAAATCACTGACCAGCCACTTATATCTATTAATAGAAATTCCGCATGATATTTTACGTTTTTGTCTTTAAGTGGAATTCGTTCAAAGGAAAAACAACTTGAACTATCTAAAAACATGATAAACAAGAAGAAGCAACCAAGTAGAAAGATGCTATATATTCATTTGTATTTATTTCTGAGAATCCTTTCGGAGATATTACTACTGAGCGAGAAACTGAAAGAACAGCGCATGCTTCGGTCTTATTGGGCCTCATTCGTAGTACGTAGGTTTAGTTTTCCTGAGGGAACTCGAACTGCGGACATTCTGATTGGAAGGTCAACCCCCACCCCTGAGCTATACGGTCGACACCCAACACAGTGAGTGAATGGTTGCAGTAATTTAGGCCAAGAGAAACGAACAATTAATGCATATACCATCAAACAGAATCATTCACAACGTAAAATCCTAAACTACGTTACATTTGAGAAGATCTGGGAGTAGTATAGGTTTACAAAACTATCCTCATTGGGAAAATATATAAAACAATACCGACAAAGTCCCCCAAAATATAAAGACAACGAAAGAACCGATATTTATCCCAAATACTTCGAGCTACTGTACATCAATGAAAAGATCGGGAACACTCAAAATGTCATGGTCGGTTGATGGGAATAAATGAATCGGATGCTATACAATGACAGAGGATGCTTCCGAATTTTGGGGGTCAGGTCTGGGCTTTTGTTTTCGAGCTTTGTGCAAATCTTTTACACTGAGACCGCTAGCTTTTAATCGAGCCGCGGAAATACTGATCCCATTCACCCTCTGGAAGTCAGTTTTCTTTACCGGTTTCACATCCATTTCGAGTGTTTGGTGAACCGCCGTAACAGCGTCATGTGCGCGTTTTCGTTTCCGTTTTGACCGTTTTCGTCGACTACTCGAAGTGCTGGTCTCCCCTCCACTGAAAAGTATAGGGTGAAAAAACATGTACAGGGCAAGAATATAAGAACAGTAGAAACACAAAACTGATTGATAGAAACGGTTTTCAACAGAGGGGAATTCAAAAATATTTTTATTTTCTAATCACCATTGTTCAGCGAAATACAGTGAAACGAACTCCACTGAACACTGCCCAACTCACAATGCACATCTATACCCGATAAAATTCCAAACACACGACGGTTTGCCTTTAAATTACTAACACGGTCACTCCATCCCACGTGAGACAAACTAAGTGAACACCGATAATCGAAAACTTCTATCCGATGGACGTCTTCAACTAGCAAACCCAAAGTCTCACAACCATAACGCAGAAGTGAATGAACGGCAGTACAACATACATGACCCTCCAATTTCAGTGAAACATCGCCTCTACGACAAAGGTATTTCAGTCCTGCGTTTGCTGCCCGTGTCTTCGAAATGCGGGCGGTTATCTCCTTTGCTGCACTACCGTCATTGGCCACGCAACTATTTAAGTAGGAAAAGTAATCCACCACAACTAAATCCTGGCCATTTAGTTTCAGAGCGAGAGTAGACGAAACCCAGTCCTGCAGCATCAATTTGCACTTTGAAGGTGCAAAGCACATACCGAATATGCCTACTGCACTTGTTAATCTATCAAGTGCGCTTTGCGCGTCCTCCATACATTCGAACAGACAGACGATGTCATCGGCGTACTCCAAATTGAACAGCTTTTCTCCAGCTGACCATTCAATACCTCAGTTTTGGAGACCACTTAATGCGTTCTCCAGAATTGAACAGGAACGACGAAATAGCTATTATTCAAGGGAAGATCAGGCGTCATCACGGATAGAGTGTATAGACAAAGAACCGTGCGTAATGTCCAATTTTCACTTCCTCTTATTGAATATACAAAGATAAAAGTATAAGGAGTTCCAACTATGCGAGAGGGATCGATGGCCCAATCATTAGAGGTATACCTAATCGATGTATATATTATTCTGCATGAAAATAGTTTATACAGGAAAGAACAAGTACAGACTAAAAATCACATTTCAGTGCTCCGACCAGATGTCGATCTCACTTTCATCATTGTAAGGGTCAATGGTGGGAGTAGATGGTGAATAACTGTTTTGGATGTGGTGTTGGTCATGAAAGAATGAGTGGGTAGTATTCCGTCAAAAAGATCACTAGCGCTGGAGACAAAACCGATACACAAATCGTTACTAGCTAAAGGTGAAAAGTTTCGAATCAAACATGATTGCAGCGTTGGAATCAAAACAGTTTTCGCAGCAAAGATTGGCACTGTGTATTCGTCTCAGGATCGATACGGTTCACCAAGCTCAAAGACCAATTTCCCTGAACTGCGCCTTTTCAGTAAACAGTGAAACTTTATTCCCCGAAATATTGTGATATAAATCACGATGTGATTATTAGTCAATGGATGAATTACCGAAAACGAGCATGTCCGTCACTGTGGTACGTTTCTCTTACCATGTAGGAGATCAGTATATTCGGATAAGTAAAACATTTTACCAAAAACATTGGTTTGTTAGACGTGAAGTGACTGAGAGATAATTTACTAGACTCAAATAATTCAATGTAATGAAGCATACCACAGAACGAAAATGCATCCAGATCTTCATTCGTTCCGTTAGCAGTACCACACAATACAAAATAATAATATGTGCATGCATGATAATACAATTCCAAACGGTTTGCATGAAAGAAATTAGTGGTAAAATGAGTTTCAGGACGAACAAGTGGTCACAGAGAAAGACTATGCAAGTCTGCCAGGTTGATCGCGAGAAATTCACTAACAAGAGTCATGGTATAGAAAAATAACTGAAATAAATGAGAAAAAGTCCATTTGAACAAGTTCTGACAATGGCAACTGTATGCCAGTCAATCAGTGCGCGACATTAAACGAGTGCAAAGAAACAAAGCTGTTCCCTTTTCCGTATTTTGGGAGGGCATTTGAACTGACCTAATCCCGAACAACACATGGGTGGCATATTATCAGCTGCCAAGAAAGGTAGCGGCGTCCCCAAACGATAACTACGAGTGATTTACCTGAAGTCAACGCTAGAGATGAGTAAGATGGAGGACGTAGTTTGACAGTGGGATGATAGGTCTATATCATGTGTTTTCCTTCCACATAAGCATGAAACGAAATAGAAGAAAAGAGGTATTACCGTACGAACATATGGATAGATGTGTGTGTGTGTGGGGGGGGGGAGAAGAAAAGAATCTTGTACATAAATGCATCAGCACAAATTTCATGCAAAACTATACACACTTACTCTCCTCCTTGAGCTTTCGCGCTAGGCCACCAGTGGGCGTTCGGATCACTTAACGAGGCGATTACTCTTGTTTTTTTTTGCAATTTGTGATTTGAGTGGAACAACCGCTGATCTCGTTCTTCCTCCTCCTCAGTTCTGAACACAAAATGCAGCAACGGGAACGGGAAGAGTTACCGCATAGAAGAAAAGAATCATAGAGAATGAACATAAAACGCCAAACATAGTCTCTGGCTTCCTTGGGACGAACGTATGAGAAGGCCCAATGGATTAATTGTACCGATATGTGACATTATTAATTAAAGCTTACAGCTAAACTGGAGCACGAAGACCTGGAACCTGAGGTACGACAAGGATACACAAACGGCATTCCGATGCGTACATAAATCCTCTATGAACTTTATGGAGCCCGAGTGGCATGCTTGCATTCTGCCTATGAGGTCCCGAGTTCGATCTCCAGTAGGGTCGATGGATTTACACTGCTAATGAGACCCAACCAGATCGAAACAGCTGTCCAGTAATTCCTAGCTTTTCAGTTCACGCTTCATTTGCTATATACACGACGAATTCCCATTCGAAACCTAATAATCGTCAAATAAACCTGTGTAACTTTCAATAGCACAATCATTGTATAGAAAATAAGTATAGACGAGTCAGTAAACAGAATACCAAATGAGTAGGCACACATATTTGTTTTTTAATCGACAGTTTCCATAAAGTTGAACTCCACGGATCTGAGAATCTATTCCCAGAAAAAAAACGTTGGTTCATAATTGGCGTTATGACAAAAACGAAAGAGTTTNAGAGTTTCGGTTGCAAGAGATTGGTAGCATTTGTCGCACGAGCGCTCCACGATGTGGCCGGCAGAGCAGAAAGAAGAAATGCTATAGAAAACAGAACCAAAAGCCAAAAGGGTATACATACAAGAGCAATGAACTGCGACTGAGATTGAAATATGAATACTCACCTATATGCAGTAACCCGAGTGATTGGGACCCAGGAATTCAATTCTCCCGGTGTGGCAGTCAACACTTCCTCTGTGCTCAAGCCAAAGTCGTTCGGAGTTACTTTGCGATATTTGAAACGGCAGAATACGTCTTCATCCGGAGTGGGTCCGGGAATTACGTCTTCACAATTAAGATGATANGTAGTGGATCTGAAATGAAGGGAAATACCTCGAAACCAAAAACCTCCCCTAGTTCGGAATTCATTTACAAAGGATTATATAGGTCACAGGAGCAGCGGTGTGTTAACAAACGGTCATTTAACTGTGTTTTTATGAAAACTATGATTGTAATAGTGGACATTGATGGTAGAAACGAGAGCTGATATAAGTCTGAAGGAATAACTGATTGAGGGGCCGAGTAATTGCGAGTACTTCGTCAATCGCGTTAAAGGTGTCACGATGATGTACTTCGAAACTCATGGTAAATGAAATTTCATTAATCTCTAGAAGACTAAAGTTACAGTGTTTGTAGCAAAAAGTAAACTTTTACTATTGCTGCCGATCGGTGCGATTGCTATCAGAACCAAGATTTTTCAGGAGAAGCACGAACTACTTTCAACGTATCAGTAGTTGAGAAACATTTCTGAAAGGTACATCAAGCAACCCGAATAAGGTGTAGACACGAACCTCATAGTCAGGATACACCGTCGGGTCGTAGAGTTCTTTTTCACGTTCTAATGCCCCTCCACCCCAAAACTTTCCCCCCCGCCGTCGACG